ATCTTGGCTAATAGCCATGGACTGGTTCTCTATGAATTTATCCAATTCTTTTTTAAATCCAGTTATACTTCTGTCTTTCACAACATCCCCTGACAATGAATTCCACAGGTTTGCTGTGCGTTGTGTGAATAAGTACTTCCTTATGTTTGGTTTAAACCTGCTGCCTATTTTTTTCTGTTTCTTGTGTTATGCGAAGGGGTAATAAACTTCCTTATTCACTTTCTCCACACCAGGCCTGATTTTATAGACCTCTATCATATCCCCCCCTCAGTCGTCTCTTTTCTAAGATGAACGGTCTCAGTCTTTTTAATCTCTCCTCATATGGAAGCTGTTCCGTACCCCAATCATTTTTGTTGCCCTTCTCTGTACTTTTTCCAATTCTAATACATATTTTTGAGATGGGTCAATCAGAACTGCATGTAGTATTCAAGATGTGGGCATACCCTAGATTTATCTAGTGGCATTATGATATTTTCTGGCTTATTATCTATCCCTTTCCTACTGGTTACTTACATTGTTAGCTTTTTTTGACTGCCACTGCACATTGAGCAGATGTTTTCAGAAAACTATCCACAATGATTCCAGTATCTCTTCTTTAGTGGTAATATCTAATTTAGACCCACCATTTTGTAAGTATAGTTGGAATTATGTACTTTTCATTTATCAACAACGAATTTCATCTGACATTTTCTTGTCCAGTCACCCAGTTTTGTGAGATTCCTTTGTAATTTTTTTGCAGTCAGCTTTGAACTTAACTATCTTGAGTAATTTTGTATCATCTACAAACTTTGCCACCTCACTGTTTACCCCCTTTAACAGCTCATTTATGAATACGTTGAACAGCACTGGTCCCCGTACAGATCCTGGAGGGACCCTGCTATTTACCTCTCTCCATTCTGAAAACTGATCATTTATTCCTACCCTTTGTTTCCTGTCCTTTAACCAGTTACTGATCCATGAGATGGCCCTCCTGCTTATCCCACAGCTGCTTATTTTGCTTAAGAGCCTTGGGTGAGGGACCTTGTCAAATACTTTCTAGAAGTCCAAGTACACTGTATCCATTGGATTACCCTTGTCCACATGTTTGCTGACACCCTCTAAGAATTGTAATAGATTGGTGAGGCATGATTTCCCTGTACACATGCTATGTTGATGCTTCCCCAACATATGTTCACCTATGTGTCTGATAATTCTGTTTTTTTACTATAAGTTTCAACCAATTTCCCTGGTACTGAAGTTTGACTTACTGGCCTGTAGTTGCCAGGATCACCTCTGGAGTCTTTTTTAAAAATAGGTGTTACCTTATCTGCAGTCATCTGTTACAGAGGCTGATTTAAGTGACAGATTACATACCACAGTAAGTAGTTCTGCAATTTCGCATTTGAGTTCCTTCAGAACCCTTGGGTAAATACCATCTGGTCCTTGTGACTTATTACTGTTTAATTTCTGTTCTAATTACTGTTTAATTTCTCAATTTGTTCCCAAACCTCCTCTAATGACACCTCAATCTGGGACAGTTTCTCAGATTTGTCTCCTAAAACGAATGGCTCAGGTGTGGGAATCTCCCTCACATCCTCTTCAGTGAAGACTGAGGCAAAGAATTCATTTAGTTTCTCTGCAATGGCCTTGTAAATTTCTGCTAAATGTACAACCTTATCTACTCACTAGATTTGCAGCACAGTACCTCTGACTTGGAAGCAACATCACAGAATTGTAAGTGCTCTTTGTATATATTTTTTGCACGGTGATTCTTCACAGCGCTCCCCAGGTTGAAAGTCACACATCTCTCCCTAATAAACCACACACACGTACGCACGTGGGGGTATTTAAACATTTCCTGTTAGTCTTTGGCACATAAAAGCTGGTAAATTTGGGGCTTGGAACCAAGGGCCTGAGGCTGCTTTTCCAAAAGAAAGAAAGAAAAATGCTGAAATGTAGCAGGGAGTTAGCTCAACCCCCCTTGCTTCCAGACGCCTTCCATCCGGAACTGTGCTAAATAGCTGTGCTGAGAAAAGGTGCTTGGAGAGTCCTAGGGCACAAAAAGGTGGAGCTTCTGCAGGGCAGGGCCTGCGGTGGCTTTTTATCCCCCTTAGGCACCGGACACAGGGCAGGCCCCCAACACAAAGAGACAGTCCTTGGGTGGGTGCCTGGAACTGCATCCAGTCCAGGGGAGTGTTACCAGTAACCCACAACCAGCATGTGAGGTGCAGGTGCTGCCAGTGGCTCAGGGGCCAGGAGCAGACCCAGTCCAGCAAGGCAGGCCCTGCAAGCCCGCAGTGACCTGGCATGGTGCAGGGTTTCTGCCGGTGCCTAGTTTCTTCATTCACCATTCAAGGGGTGAAGCGGCCAGAGCCTGCCCTAGGCCGAAGCAGACTGAGCACTTTAGGGCCCTGAACCCTCAGGGGGGCCCCTAGTCACTTTTCATTATAAGCACCTGCCTGTTTTGGCAGTGGGGGGGAGGGAAGTATTCCTGCTTAGGGCCCCCTCTGGGCTGGCACTGGCAGGCGAATAGTCCCAGTTACTGAGAGTCCTGGGGTCGGGCTAGCCGTGGGTTAGCTACAGGATGCTTTTGCTAGGTGGTTTGGGAGCAAAAGGTCTCAGGAATTAGGAGCTGAAGCGGGGTACTTTAGACGCACTGGTTAATCCCCACCTGCCTGTTTCATTAAGTGGTTCAGGCTCAGGGAGAGGCCGAAATGTTCTTTTCCATGGAAGCCTCCTGTCCGCCCAGCCGGGAAGGTCCTAGGGGGCGAGGAGCTAGCGGCTGGTTAGCCCCACAGCCTGGGCTGACTGCAAACAGCCGAGCACCAGGGGGACGCGCACTTGCTCTGGGGTGGAAAGCAGCAGTGAGTGCCAGGCGTTGAAGGGGAGAAGTCTGATCGAGGCAAAGGGGCCTGGGTGTGTCCCCCACCGCGGCGCTCTGCGGGCAGGCTGCGCAAGGCGGTTCCCGGCGGGGTCTAGTGTGGACGGGCCTAAATGTCCGGCACAGTCGCCGCCCTTTGAGCGTTTGTCCAGGCGGCAGGAGACTCTCTGCATCCTGCAGCCTCCCCGGGATCGTGTCCCCTGTGCAGGGCCCTGGCTGGAGCCAATGGGCCGCCCTACACGGGTCCCTGCTTCCCGCGGACAATGTCCCGGCTCTGGGGGGCACTTTGCCTTTTGCAGCATCGCTTTGCTCCCCGCCGTTCCGCGTTTCAACGCTCCCAGCTGCCTTGAGAGTTTTGTTCAAACTCGTTTAATATTTGAAGCTCCTTTGCCCCCGCCCTGCGGCCCGGGGAGCGAGCAGGCGCCTTCGGTTCTCCGGGAACTTTGTTGTGTTTCTTTCTCCCACGTCATCCCAGACCCCGCCAGCTCCCTTGCTGGGCCGTGCGGGGAAAGAAACCGAGACACGGGATGTGGGAGCCGGTTTATTAAACCCGGGAGCCGGGTACAAACACGCTGCCGCCTCGGCGCCCCTTGGAAGCGGGGGCGATATTTAAAACAATGAAACGCGTCCCCCGGGTCCTGCATCTCCCCGGCTGGGCGGAGACCCTCCGCCCCTGCGCTGTGCGCGCCCGGGGCGCTGGCTAGCGAAGGACCGAGCCCAGCGGGGGTGATCCTATCCCCCGGGCACGTCCTTCCTGCGCTCTAGCGCCCGCGGGCAGGGGCCGCCCCCGCCCGCCCGCGTTCTCCTGACCAAGCCGCGCGTGGGGGAGGCTCGCGCGCTACCAGGGCCGCCACAGCGCCTGGCTCCGGCTGGGCCCGGAGGGTCTTTGCTGCCCGGGGCCGCGCCGCGGGGCAGCAGCGCCCGGCTCAGTCCGGGGCTGGGAGCTGGGAGCGCCAGGGGCCCGGGGGCGCTGGGTGGAGCCGCCGGCTTTCTGCACAGGCCCCCTCTGCTCGGCCGCGCGGCCGCCGGGCCGGGAGCCCGGGCTCCGGGCGCGGCGCGAGGGGCGTGCTGTCCGTGGTCCTGCAGCCGGA